TTCGGGCCGCCATTAATGGCCACAAACTTCGAGTTATCCGTCATTTGCGTGAAACAGCAGACGTCGTACGCCTTCTGTATTGAGTCCTTTTGAATGTCAAACAAATCCTTGCGATCCTCCAAATCGACGGAAACGCCCGTCAGGCCTAACCTGAACACCGGTTTCCTTAACTGTTCAAAAACGCCGATAAATCGCTCGTTGAAGAGTTCGCAGCAGATCCGGCCCTCCAATAGGTATTTCTGGACACAAATCAATGGCATCACCGAAATGCCACTCAACTCATCGGCCAATGGATTGCAATAAATGGTGATCTTCTCTAAAATGAAATCATTGTCTCCACTCTCGGCTTGATTTTCAATCATTTGTCTCATGATATCGTCGTTTTTATCGTCATTTTTGTGGATCAGTTCAGTCGTCACTTCTTTGACAAATCCGAAGAAGAGTTTCGATTCATCGCTGCTCTCATCCAACGTGTACTTCAAGACCACGATCTGACCGAATCTAAACTTGGATTCATTGAGACCGTTGTCTCGTATATGAGTGCAAACGATGTCATTGTCGCCAATCCTCTGGTAGTTCATCGGATGGTAACAATTATCTCCTTTAGCGCTGTCCTTAACCGATGCCCAGAACTCGCGGATTACAAACGGTATGAAAGCGTTGACATACGTGTCGTGCGACTGGAACTGAATCTCCCGGTTATGCGTCTCCTCTCTAAAGAAGATCTTCGAGTTCTGATCCTCAACGAGACATCCATTCAATTCGCAGATAATACTCAGGAAGTCTTCAAACGATTTGGGAATTGTGTTGATCTGAACGTCCGATTTGAGGGTCTCTTTGCCTTTCTTCCCCTTCGGAACCGCTTTACGCTTCGCTTTCAAATTCTGCAGCCTTTCGTCGAGTATAGACTTCTTCGTGAAGACATACTGGAAGAAGGGATCTTTGAACTCGTTGTCGACCTCTTTGTCGGTGAGCAGCAGATGTGTGACCGCCGGCTTCACCACCATATCCTCGCCGATCTTCACCCGCCTCTGAATAATCTCCAACTTCTTCGAGTTGTTCGTAATGAACAGGTCTTTAATCAACTGAATCGTGTCGTCCGTTAGTGTCGTGTCTTGTGGTCTCCTGTCGTCATATCTGTCGTCCATCGCCAGAGCGCTGTCGTCGACCACTGCGGTGATGGTCGTCGTCATCGTCTTCACCACATCTGAACTCATTTCGTAGACCATTAATGCTTGAAACCAATCAATGGGTGACTTCTTCGCGTGAATGGATGGCTCGTGCGGTCAATGATGTGATCAATGGGTCGACCGCTCAGTGAATGAGTGAATAAAATGTGATTTCATGTCACGTGCTCTCCATTGACACACTTTTTCAATGCAAAACTTTTTGCTCGTAAATTACGTACACTTTTCGTGTTTCACGTATTCATACGAATCGGTTGTAAAACACGGAAAAGGGGTTCAAATGTCGGACACAATATTTATGGCAAATATTTCACTGCATTTGAAATAAACACATTTCGTCATAAATTTTGTACAAATATTACGTNTTTTTGCTCGTAAATTACGTACACTTTTCGTGTTTCACGTATTCATACGAATCGGTTGTAAAACACGGAAAAGGGGTTCAAATGTCGGACACAATATTTATGGCAAATATTTCACTGCATTTGAAATAAACACATTTCGTCATAAATTTTGTACAAATATTACGTTTGGGGTGAGAGGGGGAGGGAGGATATGAATAGTAGGGTTTGTTATGTTTGGTGTGTATGTGGGGGCAAAGTGGGGGCAACTGATACACAGTGTGTTTGACGCAACTTATGATCACCTGATGCTGAGTTGACTGATAATTGTTGTTATGATAACAATGTTATCAATATGACCAAGATCACAATTTAGTTCAATTTAATTGTTATTTATATTTTGTTTGTAATATTATTTAACTTAAGCACACATTTCATAATGAGTTTAAAACTGTTGAAAAGTTTTGGACACAAATGCAAACTATTGAAAGATATACTCAATAAAAGTCGCTTAAGAGTGGACGCGAAGAGGTTCGCGAAGATGTTATCGGATCCGGAAAATCGCGGCGAACGACAGCAACACATCAACTTCGATACGCTCGGCACGTGGTATGCATACCATTCCCCGCACGTAGACTCCCTGTCCACTAAACCCCCATATCCTCACCCATAGGGACAATCGGATTGACTTTAATATATTACTGCAGCAGAGCATCAAACACGGCAAACCCATCCCTAAGATCAACGCCGAAGACATTGGTTTCGCCACAACATTAGGCCGAAGAATGTCTAACGAAGACATCTATAAGTACTAAACGACGGCATTGTGTTTGTGGGTTGCGTTCAGACACTAAATGAAATCTACTTTGTTTGTCACCGAAATAGTGTCACCGAAATCGACGCAAATCTCTTGTATTTCGCGGTGTTTGACGGACACGGAGGACAGGCGTGCGCTCAGTATACCAATGAGAATATGATAACACATATCACGTATTGGCTGAATAGGGGTGAGCGGGACCTGCAGTTCATTCTGGAGAACTCGTTCATCGAAGTGAACAACTCTTTCGCCCGATTCGTGACATTCAATCCGTTCGGTGAGTGCGTTGACAGCCGTTTAGCACCACTTTTGTCACCATTTGATGCTTTGAATGGACAGTCGAGGGTCGGAACGGGTGTTCGGGAACGACAGCGACGGTGTGTCTGCTGAGGAATGGCATCGAACTGGTTGTGGCTCATTGTGGCGACAGTCGGGCGCTGTTGTGCCGGAACGGGGATGTCGTGCGACTGACCACTGATCACAACTCCAACGTGAAGGCAGAGAAGGAGCGGATCGTCAAAAGCAATGGTTTCCTCAAAAGCGACAGTTTGGGGGTCGGACTCGTCAACGGACGGCTGGCTATGACTCGAAGTATCGGTGACTTAGATCTGAAGCCCTATGGAGTGATAGCACTGCCCGACACCCGATCTCTTGAGGTAAGCATTGGCTGCCATTCGTAGCGTTTAGTCGTAACGCCAATGACTGTACGCACAGATAAAGCACGGAAGGGATGCCTTCATAATCCTGACCACCGATGGCGTGAATCACGTGATGTCGGACAAGGAAGTGGTGGATGCGGTGCAGAGTTGCGGCAAACCGTCAGAAGCGGCCCAATTCGTGACGGACCAGGCGTTGCACTACGC